ACCACCCAAAGATTTGATCCAATTTTCCCTTCAAAAATGTGGTGCTTAAAATCGGGAGAATACGGTATACTTTTTAGAGATACTATAATTTTAAAAGATATTGATATTAATAATAATAATTTATATAAGTAAAGAATAATATTATTTTATTTTCTAATTTAAAATATAATTCAAAAAATTAATTAATTTTTTTTTAATAAGAATCTTTTAATTGAATTTTTAATTTTAATATAAAATTTTTTAATAATTTTTTTAAAAATGTGTAATTTATAATTATATAATTTATGATATAATATATAATATACAATATATAATATAGCATAAAGATATATATTTTTACCCTTAAATTAATAAACAAAAAAATAAAAATTTTTTATTTAAAATACTAGTTATTAATCTATTACTTTTTAATAGGAGAAAGAACTTTTAGATTAATTTATATTTTAACTTTTAAATTATCTTAGATACAGATTATCTTTTTATTAAAGAAACTTTATTATAAAAATGAAATTAATTATTTATACAAGTATTCTAAAGGTTAATTTATAAATTATATTTTAATAAATAATTTTTAAAATATTAAAATTGATTTTAATTAACCTTAATAATAAATATAATTGAAAACAAAAAAAAATATATTAAAAATTAGCATAATTTCGATAATAACATGGCTAACAATATTTACGTATCACAAAATTGGTAATAAACATCGAAATGCTTAGGGGCTCAAAATTTTCGATACATATTATATCACGTGATACCGGTAATTAAAAATCATTTCTAAAATAAGATGTATCGCAAAACCAACTGTACGCCATATAATTTTTGTGGTGATGGCCGAAAAATCAATTGTGATTATGATTCATGAAACCTGTTTATAAGAATTCTAGATGAAAGATTTAAGAAATTTTTAGATGTTTAAGAAATCAAAAAAAAAAAAAAAAAAAAAAATCTCGTTTAAATTTAAATGTTTTGATCCGAGGCTTTGAAAGCCACAAAAGAAAATATTCTTTTACTTAATGGGTAACTTTGTCGTCACACACGTACGTTGTATTGGTTCCCGCATCAAAATGGATGCTCGGTTGTTTCGGTTGTGATGCTTTTAGCTTTTTTTTTTTTTTTCGATGACAAGCATAGTATAAACGCCATATGTATAATGAATGATTGGTCAATCATTTACCACATTAATATAATTTTTACTAATGTGTCATGCGGAAAGATAATTACATCCCTAATTCGCATGTCAACAAAAATCTGACAGGTTTCTGAAAAGGGTAAGGAATGTTTGAAAATAAGTGCGACCGGGTTTTTTTTTGCATCATTTAATTAAAAAATTTTTTTTTACACCCGTTAATTGCCGCTGACGGCGGATTTTTCCGATGTATCGTAAAAATTTATTTAAATTGATCGATATTTTCGCTCTGTTCAAAAAAAATTTTTTCAAAAAAATAATAAATCCTTTTAATACTTGTAGAATTCAATTTTTTTTAAAAAAAAAAAAATCCCAACTCAACTACATTTAATCGAAATGGCCGCATCTACCGCAGCAAGAAACGCTTTCATGAAAAATTGGTTCCGAGCTGAAGTCATCCCAATCTATGTTGTAACCGTATGTATTGATCGTGGAAGACAAATCATTTTTATTTAGTACTCTAATAAATGTTTTCGATGATGTTAATAGGGAGTAGCTGTTGTTGGTGCAAGTTGGTATCTAACCCGTCTTGCCCGGGGACCTGAAGTCATTTGGGACAAGTAAGTTGCCGTAATATAAAATAAAAAGGAAATTTTTTATTTTATTTTCTCAAATGACATCAAATCATCATTTTCTTTTAGAAAAAACAACCCAACCCCATGGAATAATATTGAAGACGGTACACAAGTAAAACTTATTGCCGTCAATCAGAAATTCGACAGGAAGTATGTTTTAGTGGTATAAATGATACCATATAAACCACTTTAAACTTTTTTTTTCACTTCAAAAAATATAATAACGCTTGAAAATATCCGGGTTTAAACATTATGTTTGATTCCATGTTTATTTTCATACTCATACATATCTTTCATATTTTCTTTCTTTCATCTTAATAGATATTCTCGTGACAGATTTTAATTGGTCAACTTATACACTCTCTTATACATATCAAATTTAAACGACAAATCATTTATCAAACACACATTACCTTTTTTTATTGAATCTTATACTTAATTAAATAAAACAGAAATAAATAGAAATTTAGAAAACCATTTTGAATTGCATTTCCAAATTTGTTTAATTTTGATGTATATCCTTTTTCCCATAAATAAATTAAATAAATATACACGTGTTAAAATATTTAAAATGAATTAACACATGACAAACTGAATATTCGATAGTAATCGGCTTTTTTTGCCCGAAATAGTATATTTTTATTAAAAATCGATAAATCGAGTAATAAAATATAAAAAAAAATTTTTTTTATTATTATATAATAAACTAATTTTATTGATAATTTTTGACATTCAAATTTCACCACGTGAAGAAATCATCTACACGAAAGGAATTCAACTCCTCCATGAGATTATTCAGGTATCAGTGACTACTTCCCCTTCTAAATTTTTTAAGAGGATACAAGTTATTAAGTTATGCATGAAAATTGAAGAATTATATTATCAAGATCTTACGATCATTAATTTCCAAGGGATGTCCAGTGATGTTTTCATGCATTTCGGATGCCTTCATCGCACTTTTTTGTTTATCCTCCGGCCTTCTTTCTTCTCGATGAGAGGCCGCAACAAGCGATGATCTATAATAAATTTAAACACAAAGTCATAATCTTAAATCATATTCCACAAGAGACGAGTTCGTGTGAGTTACTTACAATTTTCTTGAAGTATCTGAATCATCGGTTATAGCAGGACCTGAATCTCCACCTTCATCATAAAATCCTTCGGTCTGAGCGATAGCCTTTGTAGATTCACGTAATTCATGTAGATCAACTTGATTTGGATTCAAGTCCACGGGTTCTTTTTTAACATTTTCGAAAAGTCAATAATCAAATTTCATCCAATCTCTTTAAGGGGGAGAAATATTTTACAAACCGCTAACATCATAATCTTTTCTAGGATCATACTCTTCATCTCCGTGTTCTATATTTTGTATGTAGAATTCATCTTTAACGGCGCCTTCCTTTGTTGAATAATCTTGATCGTTCATCTTTTTTTTTTTCTTTAAATTGATTCACAAAGAGAGTTGCAAATTCATTTGCTTTATATACAAAAAATTGACTTGCCGTTGACGCATAAATGATGCATAAGTAAAAGAAACAAGACTAAATGGTACTATATATATCATTATGACATTAATGACGGTTTTCTTGACTATTCGTATTTATGCTTTATACTCTCGTAAATGTAATGTTTATCTACAACGTAATTTCATGATTGATTATCGTGAAAATTTTATCATCAATACTCGCCCAATCTAATATCGGAAAGATGTCTTTTGAAATAGTGATGATCAATGATGTAAATCATGACGTTTCAATGTTTATTAAAATTTCTTTCTATAATATTTCATCGGCTGAACTTTAAAGAAAACTCCGAATCTCAAGATGAATTCGGATGAAAACCAATTCACCTAAAATGTAAAAATTTTTATTAGTTATACAAGGGTTCTTTTACCCTTGAACGAATTTTGTTTATTTTTTTTTTTTCTTCTCATATTTACAAAATTAGAACAAATAAAGATTACGCGAAAATGTTTATTTTTTTTTTTTACACGTTTGGTTATGATATTTGTGAATCATGAGCGAAAAAAAAAAAGAGTCTATATTATAAGAACCACACTTTTCTCCCAACTTCCCAAAAAAATTTAATTTCTGGAAATTCATAAACAGTTGTTTGTTGTTACGACCTTTGCACCAATCAAATTTTTCTAGATCATCTTCACTTTTTACGAAATCGAAAAGAACTTTTTTTTACGCGACATAATGGAATTTGCCGATCAGTCCCTCCCTGAAGAGTTGTTTATGAACCTATGGTATTACGCGTTGATAAAGACTGAATGTAAATTTAAAAGCGAAGTAATTTACTTATAAAAGAAATTACGGGTGGGTTTGTGAATGTTATGTTGCCAAAAAAAGAATTTTTCTTGAATTTTATTACCTTTTTTATCATTATAAATATGCATATCTTTCAATTTGCAAAAAAAAAAAAAAAAAAAAAATTGACTTTGCTGCTGCTTTAAATAAATTTAAGAATGACACTTTGAGTGCTATATCATTAATAGAAGGTATATCATTAGCAGAAGCTAAATCAATCTTTCGAGAAATGACAGCGACAAAAAAGAAAAAAAAGAAGTTACAGCTATAGAAGTTACAGAACAGCAATAGCATCAGCTACAGTAAGAACGGCGAGAACTGCAAGAACAGTAACAACTACAACGGCACAAACAATCACAGTAAACAGCTATAGCAACAACCACATACCGCACCTACCCCCCACCACCCACCACGATCCTTCCTCTACTACAACATCAAGTGTAATTTATTATACGCGCAACATAATTACTTCCACCAATTCTATGACCTCCAGAATAATAACCCGTGGTGTTCCTTGTGTCAAGAAACAAGATACAACCATTACAAGTGGTGTTCCGTGTGCCAAGGAACAAGACGATAATGCTCCCCAACGTACAGGATTGATATCTAACTGTTTGTTTTAGACGCTGGAGGTTTGGTAATACTTATGTCAAATTCGAATTATTAACGCTAAAAGATGTGATAGGTTGATGAACGGTTTAGGTTTTTTTTTAAAAAATTTTTTTTTTTTTAATCACCGTGTGGTAAAGTGATATATTTTATTTAATCACTGGGAAAAATAATATTTTTTTTTTTTGATAGTTTCTTTTTTCGATCACCAGGTGGCAGGTGAATTTATTCGATCACTGGGTGCCAGGTGGCAATGTGATCTTTTTTTTTATTATTATGTTCACCGGGTGCCAGGTGGCAGGTGAATTTTTTCAAATCTTTTTCGATTACTATTCTTTTCAAATATTGAATGAATAAAATTTTACGAAAAATTTTAAGTTTTGCACTTTATGATGATTCGCAGCATAAAATCAATATCAATTATAAAATGTTTCTGTTTCATATTATATATATTTATATTTATTTATTCATAAATATCTAAATTTAGAAGCTATAAGTATATAAAATCCTCTGGTTTTTTACCATGAATCAGAAATTTATATATTACTGGTAAAAAGTATTTTTTTTTATGATCCAAATAAATAAACTTTAACCGTTTTTTGAAATGTTTTAAGTTATTTCCTATATTTTTATTTTCTTCTTTCATACTGATTGTAAATTCAAATCAAAAATTTGAATATTGTGATTTTTACTAATTCTTTGTTATTGTAAAAATAAAAACAAAATTTATCTTTTTATAAAATAATTTTTATTCATTAAATTGTAAAAATTTGCAGGCTGCAAATCTTTATTTTAATTTAATATTTACTAAATTTAATCAATCAAATTTTACATAATAACTTACATTCTTTTTTAAATACAATATAAATTTATATATTATAAAGAATATATAAAAATTTCAAAATATTTAATATTTATTTAACTATTTTTAATTTTAATATAAGTAGTCGCCGGTAACTTCATGATATAATTATATCATGAAGTTACCGGCGACTTATATTAGGTTATGAAGGTAACTTCATAGTCTGCCGGTATCTTCATAATATAGTAGTAACTTCATAGTCTGC